TGGGAGTACTTGTCACCGGAGGTGATTGTTAAGCCATTCAACAAAGGCTTTCTTGTTGGAGGTTTCCTATACGCCAGGCACTTTGCTGAACCCGGGTCAACAGGGCGGAGCAAAGTCGAGTCCTGCTCTGAGGATGCAGCTTAGGCTGCGCGCCGCACCCCTCCTGAGTTGCCTGTGGTGGAGCCCACGCCCGGGCTCAGCAGGTGGGTGTCAGCCCGCGCACCAGGCTGGTCCTCACTCCGGGGACCCACAGTGCATGGCTGCTGCAGCCAACGCCGCCAACTGTACTGACCGGAGGCCTGCTCTGAAGTTCCTGTGCGGGCCTCTCATTGAATAAATAAACGTGCCAGATACAGCACCTGGACGTGAAGAGGAAGAGGAAGAGGTGTTTTCTCTGAGTTAGAAGAGACTGGGTTGGCTAGTGACTGAGCTGCGCCTGCTGCCGGTGCTGAGTCTGTTGTTAGAGGCGACAGTCCTGGCGGAAGCTGGGAAGGAAACAGCACTGGTCAGGGGTATAGTTGGACAGTCAGCAGCCCGGAGTGGCACGCCCCCACCTCGAGCCTAACCATGCGGGCAGTGATGCCCTTGCGGCCCGCCCCGGGCTCGGTGAGTGGTGGGTCCGTGACTGAGACGGGTTTAGCTTCCAGGGAGCGCTGTGTAACTGTTGAGCCTGAGTCATGTTGGTGGGCGCTAACTGGTCGCTGTCTCCCACAGGCATCGTCTCCAAGTCCTACGAGTGCCGACTGAAGGGGCAGGGCGCGGCCTTCGTGGAGACGGACAGCCCCTTCACTGCGGCCGCCCTGGCGGACGAGGCCCCCGTCAAGGACAAGCCGCTCCGCAGCAGCCGGCGGCCGGGGCTGGCCGCCGAGCGTCTCCAGCAGGTCATCATCATCCAGGACTATGACGGGGAGCTCGCCATCGACGCCTCGGTGGAGGAGACTGCCGCCGCCACCCTGCAGACCCTGGCAATGGCCGGCCAGGTGGCACGGGTGCTGCACATCAGTGAGGACGGACAGGTCATCGCCACCAGCCAGAGCGGGGCGCACGTGGGCAGCCTGGTGCCTGGCCAGTTCCTCCCGGAGCAGCTGGCAGAGGGCGCGGCACAGGTGGTGGTGCTCGGGGGCCCAGTGGAAGGCAGCGGCGCGGACGAGTCTCTGGGCGCCAGCGGCGCCGTCCTGCAGCAGGTGGCCAAACAGGAAATCGTGAGTCTTGCCGAGGCCGGCCTGGCGCCCCCAGACTCCGCCTCCGCCCTCGACGCGCTGCTCTGTGCGGTCTCCGAGCTAGGAGAGGCGGAGGGTTGCACCGACCGTGAGGAGCGGAGCAGGTGCGGTCCCAGGGACGTGCTGATCCAGGTGCCTGGCCCAGAGGCACCTCCCGCCCCCCTGGGCCCCGAGGCACCCGAGCTCCCACTGTTCCCTGAGGTCCAGGGCTGCTCGGCCGAGCTGGAGCCCGTGGAGGCGCTGACCCAGGTGGTCCGGGCCTCCGCCCTCCTGTCCTCCCAGGAGCGAGCTCAGGTGGCCTTCAAGAAGGTGGTTCAGGGCGTGCTGCAGTTCACTGTCTGTGACTCAGCCGCTGCCGACCAGCTCATCCCTGAGGGCATCACCCAGGTCATTGTCAACGAAGAAGGCACCGTGCACATGGTGGCCCGGGAGGGCTCACAGGTCATCATGCAGGAGGCGGAGCCACGCGGCCTGCGAGTGCCGGGCGAGCACATGGACTTGGTCGAGTCGGACGGGGAGATCTCGCAGATCATCGTGACGGAGGAGCTGGTGCAGGCCATGGTCCAGGAGTCGACCAGCGCCTTCCCCGAGGGGGCCACGCACTACATCGTGACCGAGCTGCCCCCTGGGGCACAGGACGAGGCGGGCGTGTACTCCCACACCGTGATTGAGACGGCCGGCTCCCCGCAGCTCCTGCAGGCCGGGGCTGCTCTGAGCGCAGACGCCGTGGCCCCACAGGGAGCAGGACAGCTGGCCAGCATGGTCATTTACGCGCAGGGAGGCTCGCCGGCAGCCGCAGTCATCCAGAGCCAAAGAGAAAGTTCCGAGCTGCAGGAAGCATAGAGCCCGGCCTCACGCTGACCAGGGCAGGCGGAGGCTGGGCGCAAGGAGGCCCCCGGGACCGGCCTGTGACGCCTCCCAACGGTGTGGCCTCCTGCAGACACGCACCAGGCTGCCCTTGGGTGAGCTGCGCACCACCCCTGCAAAGGCACTGCCACGAGGCCCCGTGACGGGCACCTGAGGACACGCGCGGAGCCCAGAGGGGCCGTGCAGGCAGCCGGCGCGCGCCCGTCTCACCTCGTGGTTCTGCGGCTCACGGGTGGTTCCCACTGGCCTGCCCCTGTGTTTCTTTCTGTTTTTACAAACAAATGTTTACTCATTTCAGTTACTAAGGGTTGGGCCCTAGGGGTGCAAAAGTAAGGCTGCTGTGTCTCCTGGCCCACAGGCCTGCTTTTGCAATCTGACACACAGCTCTTTGAACATTTTATTGCCCGTTTGGTTAAATTTGAGCTGCAGTTATTAGTCTCGAAGCGGTTGCCTTCCATTCATCTTTGTTCTGTTTTTGAAACTTTAGGATCCCAGTGTCCAGACCAAAGGCCACGGCCGATTCATCTCACACGCACGTGTTCTCTCCCCCGACATCAGGGTGCTTGGGCCCTGGTTGCGTTCTGCATAAGAGAAATCTCTTTAAGCCTGTGATTACGCAAAGCCGTGACGTTTCTCTTCCCGTGCGATAGGCCGTGCTGGAGACAGCCTGCTCTGCTTCTATTTTTGTCTCCGTTTCACACGGCACAGTCTATGTATGAAATAACGCATTCTGGAAGATACCTGTTCATGTCAATATTTGCTTTTTATGACAAATGTTTGTTCCCATGGATATCATTTTTGCAGGGTTTGTTTGTGATTTATGTCTATACAAGACATCCAACATTAAACGTTAACCCGTAGAGGGCCGCGACCCTCTGCCGCTGCTCGGCCCGGGTTACCTATGCCCCGTTGCGGTTTCTTTGATGCAAGTTTATGTTCCAGGGGTTTGTCTCTTGACATGACTGCCCTTCTTTACTCTTTCAAAACTGTAAAATGGCCGCCTTCCCCAAATGCTAAGGTTGTTTTGTTCTGTTTCTGTTTCCTTTGAAATAAAATTACAGCATCCAAAGCACACAGGACGACGTCTTAGTTGGGCAGCGGCCGCTGTAAGTGCGAGACCTGTGGTTTGTTTCAGGGACTCTGATCCCTAACCTGCATCTCTCTAGCTTCATCCTGTTTCCTGGGTGACGCAGGCTGATGCGGGCTGACAGGAACATCTTCTAGCCTGGTTACTACCTGAAAGTCCCGAAGAATGGGCCTGAGGGGAGGAGAGCAAACAGCACCTCCTTGCCTTAACCCCAGTGTCGTTTGAAAGGCCCCCAGAGACGAGCTCGTGGGCAGAGCTCACGGAGAGCCGGGCCGCCACCCTTCTCCCAGCATCCCCTCCGTGCCGAGTCTGTCCACTCCCGGGCACCTCCCTCTCAACAGCCACCCCTCCAAAAAGTAAGAGGCGGGATTTTGAGTTTGACAGCACGCCTCATAATTAGCAGAGTCGGCCTTGCTCATGTCCTTCAGAATGGCAGTCCCTCACTTCTCCTTAAACGCTGTCTTCTCCTGCAAACAGTGACAGGGCCGGCTCTCGCCTGTTATCAGCATAAGGTGACCTTTACAAAATGATGGCCCTCTCCAAGTGTCTCATACATGTTTCATAAAAAACGAGAGAAGCAGTGTTTTTCCGTGGAAGTCCTTCTGCCTGATCGTTTCCGCCATCCGCGGCGCCCGCGGTCTTGCCACGCGGATGCTAATTCTTGGTGGTGCCAGGTCCTGTAGGGCTAACCTTTCTGCTGCTGTACAGGGTGTTGACACTGACATGCTGCAGTTTACCATTTGTGATTTATTTAGGATAAATATGTCCCAGGTGGCATTTAATCCTTCATAAAACCAGTGTAGCCTGCAGTGTCAGACCAGCAATCACCCGGCGCTCGTGGTGAAAAGACCAGACCTTTGCAGGGAAAACAGAGTGCTGACGTGTTTGCAGGCTCAGAAGGACTGTGCGGTCCACCTCAGCGACTGGGTACCGTAATTACTTGTGGAGCTGGGGTTTGTAGGCTCAGAAGGACCATACAGGATGCACTCAGCAATTGTACCGTAATTGCCTGTGGAACTGAGGTCCTGGGACTGCACCTCTCTCTGATTACATAACCACCGAGATGGTTGGGAGCTCACGGGGGCACGCACACAACACGTGCTTGGAATAACGGGGCGTGCCAACTTAGTGGGCAAGGGGTGTTTGCTGCCAGGGTCGTCTGTGGGCAGACTGAGTCCCCCTAAGGGCTCCTTGGGGTTTATACCCGGGAACATGACGGGACTGAGCAGAGGAAGCGGCAAGTAAACACTTGACATGTTGACCTGAAGGCTGATCCAGAGCGGCCATGTTTGCATTATGCTGGGGCAGCGAAATAACAGGGCTCCAAGGATGCCTGGCACCATGGAGGACAGGTGGCCACATCAAAGAAGTGCTTTGGAGCTCACCTTCCACAGTACACAGCGGGTGGGGCCACAGCGGGGACACGGCTTCTCTACAGAGGCAGCTCTGCCAGGTCAGAACCAGGTGCCATCGAGTGGACCTGGCTCATGGCCAGCGAGTGGTCTTCCAGAAATAGGGTGCTGGGCCTTTATGCTGACCCGACGCTGTGGGGTCTCAAACTGCCAACCTTGTGGTTAGCAGCGGAGCGCTTAACCGCGGCACCCCCAGGGTTCTCTGTGGCACTTCCGGGCAGGTCCAAACCATGGCAGGCGCCGCGGAGGGACGCTGGCCCAGGACAGCACTGTGTGCGTCGGAGCAGGACGGTGCTCCCCAGGGGCGGACTTCAGAAGTGCGTGGCCGGGACCTTCGAGGGGCCTTGGCTCCCTCGCTGTGGGAGGCCGCTGTACCGAAGCCACGTGACTCATGAAGCTGTGGGAGTGGGGAACATTGCCCACAGTACCCAAGCCCAACGGGCAAACGAGCCCACGTTCCCTGCTGCCAAGGGGATCGTGTGGCCCCTTCCTGCTGGGCTTCCTTTGAAGAACCGACAGGTTCAAAGCCACGTCAGTGCCAAGATGGTGCCACATCCCATGTCATTCCCCCACCTCCATCCTCAGCCCAGGAACGGGGTCTTCAGAGTCACTAGGGAGCCTGTCTGGACCTTGGCTCAGTGATCCTAAAGGAACTCTGTGCAGACTCGGTCAAGGCCCAGGCCTGCACACTCACCCCAAACCTCCACAGCCCCCCCCACCTCCTTGCCCCCACAAGGAAGCAAGTGTCCAGGAAGACTGACAGCTGGCGGAGGACTTTGGGATTTTCCCATTCTGCCCAGCCTTTGGTTTTCCTGCCCAGAGCACTGCGTAAAAATGGCAGAAGGAGCGCGCTGGAGAGCCAGCTGAGAGCCCGGAGGCAGAGCGTCCGGGGTCGCATGGCTTCAGGGGAGCAGGCCGGAGGACAGGGCGCCCGCGCGGCATCCTCGGAGCCCTGCGCTCCCGCCTGCCGGGCTCTGCAGGGCCGGCCCGTAGCTGCCGAGCACACCGCTCCCTCGGGCCCCCGCTGCTGCTCTGGCTCGGGGAAGACGATGATTCGCTTTGGACTCCTCCAGGGTGATATCATTTTACATGAAGAGAAAAGTTAGCCCAGACGGCTGTTAACGTTTCGGAAGCACCTTCTAATCAGGGATCGGCGACTCATTATTAGCTTCAGCAGGCGATCCATCTGACATGGAAGGGGAAAAATTAGCAGCTGTCACTGCGTGATGAGTTAATTTCCTGATAGGCCTGACACTGAAAAGCCATTTGGAGACGTGGCAGTGCTTGATGAGAGAACCCGGCGCTGCTTTATAATTGGAGATAAAGAAAGGGCAGAGGAACGGGCCAGGAGAGCGCACCCAGCTCCCCAGGCGGGCGGGGGCTCTCGGTGCTTGGCCTGGAGGGCCTGTCTGCACTGGCTGAGGCTGGCCCCTGGCTGGGTCACAGCGTCCACACAGATGCCGTGACCTGTGTGGGGCCGAGCGTGTGGTGGAGATGCGGGCGGCAGGGCAGCCGTGGTGACACAGATGCCTGACAGACATTTCCGCTGCAAGGGCCACGCGACGTTCTCATGGTCCCCTTGGCAGCTCTCATAATTGGAGCTCAAGGTTTCCAAACCCACTGCCGTCGAGTCACATCCAACCCATACCGACCCCTCCTGGGGTTTCCGAGGCGGTATCACTACGGAAGTAGATTGCCCAACCTTCCTTCCCAAGAGTGGCTGGTGGGTTCGAACCACCAGCCTTCTGGTTAGCAGTCAAGTGCCTTAGGCACTAGGCCATAGTGGGGCAGTTTTTCAGCACCATAAGAAGTTCATCCCATGGAGATAAACACCGTGGAAAGCGAGGAGGTGGAGGGATGGCAGTAAGCAGGGTGCCATTCTGCGGTGTGCACAGGGCAGGGCGTCCGGGGCTCCTGTGAGCAAATGAGGGTCTCACCTCCCCATCCCTGTCATGAATATCTCTCCCCCTCCACCCTGGGCAACATTTCAAGCCCCACAGGTTGAAAAAATGCACATATCTTGAAGATGGACAGTAGAAACCAAGAACTCAAACCAGTGCTAGGAATCTTAGCGGGCTGGCTCGCATGGTCTTCACCAAGGGAACCAGATGACCACGAGGCTCGTGCACCTTCAAATCCAGGGCTAATCGTGTAATGACTGGATCTGCAAGGTTGCAGAAGTAGAGCCCTCTGGGAGTCATGTACCTTAGGAGTACGCCTGAGGCAAAGGACCTTCTCCCTCCACCACTCCCAAGCCTGCGCCCAGCCAGGACTCTCAGGTCTGTTCCCTCTATGGAGGGTGTATTGCCGTGGGCCGGCGCAGAAGCAGCCACTGAGAGTAGCAGAGTCACGTGTGCCCAGCATGGCCACAAAGACCAGTAAGAGTTCAATCCATTCTGAATCTCACCGTCACAGATGGGCACTTGTTCCCTGACTCTGCACTTCCAATATGTTTCCAAAACTTCATTTAAAATGAC